TGTTCTGCTGCTTTAAGCTAATGTTCTGCTGCTTTAAGCTAATGTTCTGCTGCTTTAAGCTAATGTTCTGCTGCTTTAAGCTAATGTTCTCTTCCATTTATAAACTGTTCTGCTGCTTTAAGCTACTGTTCTGCTGCTTTAAGCTACTGTTCTGCTGCTTTAAGCTACTGTTCTGCTGCTTTTAGCTACTGTTCTGCTGCTTTAAGCTAATGTTCTCTTCCATTTATATACTGTTCTGCTGTTTGCTTGTGTTCTGCTCATTTTAGCCTCTCTTCAACATTTTAGTCTCTATTCTGCTTGTTTTCATTTGACAACTTAGTTTTAGGTTCTTCAGCAAATTACACCAAAGTCAGTCAGCACTTTTTGTAAAACGTGCTAAAGTGTTTCCAGTTGATCGTTCTCTCATACTGAAAGCTAGAAAAAAAGTCCTCTGCAGACCTCTGGGAGTGATGCGCCAGCCGCAGGTGCCACAGCGCCCTGTTGAGACGCTGCTGTTCCAGTGCGCCTGCGCTGTTTGGGCCGCTGTTCTGCGGCTCCTCGTCGCCGCATTCAGCTGTGCCGCCGTCCGTCACCGAGGCCAGGTTGCAGAAGTGGTCGGCCAGGAACCCGACGGGATCGTCCGACCGGGCTTCGACCATCTTCAGGATGGCTCCGAGGAGCAGGTCTCCCACCCCGGCCTGCGCCAGAAACTCTCTGTCGCTGTCCGGCTTGACGGCTTTGCCCGCGGGCATCCCTGAAGGAATCGCCGCGGAGCGCCGCTTCTCCTTGTCAGACATTTCTGTTGACGTCCGTGTCGCAGCAACGGCAGCGGAAGTGACGGCAAAGAAACCGGAAGTCTTATTTTATTGTAAAATAAAAAAGATAAAATAAAATAAATGAATAATTCAAATAGTCTTCGTCTCTATTTAAAAAGAAAAAAATTGTATAGGTCTTCTGGACGGGTTCTTCTCTAATGAAACCTTTCGTCTCTCCTCCAAGAGACTTCTTCAATCTGAGAGTTTCAGGCAAAATTCAGGCTTTTAAGCCCTGCCTCCCTGTGACTGACACTCACATCACATGGCACATGATACTCACAAACCAGTGGTTATTCCGTATGTTGCGGGTGTTTCGGAGAAACTGAGACGTTTATTTTCTAAACATGATGTCCCAGTGGCTTTCAAACCCCAAAACACATTACGGCAAAGGCTGGTTCACCCGAAAGATCCGGTGCCCCGGCACAAACAGAGCAATGTTGTATATGCTGTTAAGTGCCAGGAGGACTGCGACCAGTTATTCGTCGGGGAAACAAAGCAGCCACTGTTCAAAAGAATGTCCCAACACAGACGAGCTACATCTAATGGCCAGAACTCTGCAGTTTTCACTCATTTACAGGCCAGCGGTCACTCTTTCAGAGATGAGGATGTTCTCATTCTTGATAGAGAGGAACGTTGGTTTGAGAGAGGAGTAAAAGAAGCCATTTTTGTGAAGAAAGACCATCCATCATTAAACAGAGGTGGGGGCCTCCGTTTTCAGCTGTCCCCCTCCTACAGCGCTGCCATTGGCAGTATCACTCCACCCCTGTTAACAATAGGTATTAATTAGGTGTGAATGATAGCCATGTGATGTGAGTATCAGTCACATGGAGGCAGGGCTTAAAAGCCTGAATCAGACTGAAGAAGTCTCTTGGAAGAGAGACGAAACATTTCATTAAAGAAGAACCCGTCCAGAAGACCTATACAATTTTTTTCCTTTTGATTTTTTACCTGGATTACTGAGATGCATCAGGACTAATATTTTAAAGTTATTTAAATATCCTGACACTTCAAAGCAATTTTCATTTTCTGAAATTTCACAGAGTGATGTTTTGAATAAACTCCAATCTCTAAATGGCTCACATGCATTTGACAAATATAAGATAAATATGGATTTCTTGAAAATGCATGCCAACACTTTTTTACCATTGTTTCATCATTTGCTTAATTTATGTATTGTACAGTCTATTTTCCCTGATGCCTGGAAGTTTGCTCAGATTACTCCCATTTTTAAATCTGGTGATCCAACAGAAGTTTCAAACTATCAGCCAATTTCTGTTCTTCCTATTTTTTCTAAGTTACTTGAAAAAACGTAATCAACTACTTCAACATCTAGAAACTAATAATATGCTAAGCAATAGCCAACATGGTTTTCGCACGTCAAAGTCAACCATGTCTGCATTAATTTTATTCACTGAACAAATTTGTGCTGCTTTGAACAAAGGTCAAGTAACTGGTGCTGTATATATTGATTTTCGTAAAGCATTCGACACAGTTGATCATTATACTCTCTTACAAAAGTTGATTTCTTTTCAAATTTCATCATCTGCAATTCAAATGTTTTCCTCTTATTTGACTGATAGGTGTCAGGTTGTGAAACATGGAAGCTCTGTGTCCGGGTCTCTGCCCTGTTCCATGGGAGTTCCGCAGGGTAGCATACTGGGCCCATTGCTTTTCCTATTATACATAAATGACCTTCCAAAAATATTGAAGTATTCAAATATTTTAATGTATGCTGATGATACTGTTCTTTTTTGTCTGATTTCAATATTGAATCTATTAATAGTCAGTTACAAGCAGATCTTCAGACGTTTCATAGTTGGCTTCAAGATAATCTTTTCCATCATTAAACAGAGGTGGAGGCCTCCGTTTTCAGTTGTCCCCCTCCTACAGCGCGGCCATTGCCAGTATCACTCCACCCCGTTAACAAGTGTTAATTAGGTGTCAACGATAGCCATGTGATGTGAGTATCAGTCACATGGAGGCAGTGCTTAAAAGCCTGAATTTCGCCTTAAACTCTCAGACTGAAGAAGTCTCTTGGAGAAGAGACGAAACGTTTCATTAGAGAAGAACCCGTCCAGAAGACCTATACAATTTTTTTTCTTTTTGATTTTTTACCTGGATTACTGAGATGCATCAGGACATTTTGTCTCTATTTGTTCACATCTTGGAAAAAAAATAAAACTAAATAAAATGACAGTTGTTTAATTTTGTCGATATAATACGTATGAAATTAATGTTATGAATGAGGTAAAATACCATATTAAAATAATTTAATAATAATAATATTAAATATTGTCAAGTCAGCAAACACATTTAAATAAATAAATTCCACAGTCGGAAAATAAAACAATCAAAATTAAACAACACCAAAGTTAGAAATCCTACATGATAACTTAATAAATTTAAAATTTGTGCTGCATTAAAAAAGGTCAGAATCTGTATTTTTTTTTTTTTTTGGATTGTTGTCCCTCCCCACCCCCTTAATTAAAAAATAAAAACTTTCAACATTGATGTACAAGCAACACTTAAGATTGTTGGTTGTCAGCTCACAGAATTCATTTTACCCTGAGAGATTCTTCAACAAAGAGGGTCAACATAAAAAAAAAAAAAACACGTTCTGGTTTAGACATAAATTAAAGTTTATTTTCTATAAATACCAACATTGAAACAAACTTCTAAACACATACAGTAAGGCAAAGACAGACTACATAAAAATGTACTTAAGATGCTCCCTTCGTTAAGTTTATGTGCCATCCGGTCAAACAGCAAAAATACAGCAGTAATTAAATGGTAACACATTAATGTGTATCTGCTTCAACAGATACTCATACAGTACAGTGTGTAGTTATAATTTAAATTTGAACTAAACATGTTGAACTAAAAATACAAGCATATTCTGTAAACTTGTAAAAAATATTTGCCAAGCTGAAATATGTGTAACATGTTAAGAGATAAATAACTATGGATCTTGACCTCAAGGTGATTAAAATATTTCAAGTTGTTTTTAACCCAGTCAAGGTTTAATCACTGAGCAGTCTTTGTTCATGTCCAAAAACATTTTAATACTACTTTTAAGTCTATTTTGAGCTTTAGCTCTCTAATAACCCTCACATGGCACAAGCTGTATCCCTCTCATGGTCATATCTGCCATTTGTCAGAGGTACAGAGATATGCTGCCCATTAGGAAGCACTGCTTTTTTCAGTGTGGCCACGTCGCTGTTGCTGTAGGTCGTGTGTGGAGTCAGGAAGTTCCTCTGCAGCTTGTGCTCCAGCAGCATGTGGTTTTGAGGAGGTAGTCCGAGGCAAGCTCTGAGACAGACAAGGAATCAAGACTGTTCGATTTTTGGATTTTTCTTGGGTTTAGTGAAAAAACTAATTGCACTAGAAGTGATCCGTACCTCAAGATGTTTTCTATACAGGCTCTCTGTCGGAAGAAGGCGTTGACTACAGGAGTCCCTGACGGAACCAGGGGGGCCTTGCAGAGGAAGGAGAGCAGAGACAGGACACTGTGGAAGGACTGAAAGTCCTCCTCTCCCTGAGGCTTCACAGTCACACGCTGACAGAGCTCTGTCAGGATCACCAGGTCCAGGATGATGGGGCTGGCCAACAGAGAATCCTGATAGGAATTGAAACAAGACAGCCAGTACAGATAACTAGCTTTTTTTTTTGTTTGTTTAAACAACTAAAACAACATAAATCATTAACTTAAAATTGTCAAAAGTTACTAAATAGATAAAACTTGTGAAAATTATAAAAATTGTACTAATTTTGATGCTTCAAGATGCAGAATTGTAGTTTCAAATTTCACATTAAAAAAAAATCCCCAAAACAGCATAATGAGTAAATAGCTGTTGTGTTTTTCTTTCAGCTGGTCCTCCGTTCTTCAGGGATCACCAAGGCGAAAAAAGTACATGAAAGTTTTGGCAATTGTTTTACACCAGAAGGCCAGGAAGGGCATCCGGCGTAAAACAATCGCCAAATCTGTCATGTGACTTTACTCGCCTTGGTGATCCCTGAAGAAGGGAGCAGCTGACAGAAAAAAACAACGGTATGTACCGACAGCTTGCTCCTTTTCCCTGGTGAGTATTCTCAGTCATTTAGGTCATGATAAAAAAAAAAAAAAAAACACTGATATGGAATGGGATTTTTTAAACTTTTTGTTATATATTTTTAAAGTTAAACAATTTCCAAGTCAAGTCCAAGTAGCTCTAAGCTCTTAGAAGTCTTTTCTCTCATGTTGCTGTGAATTCTTTTTCTGCATTTTTCTTAATTTCAAATAACTCAATCTGCTGCGAACACACATTGGTAAGCACAAAAACGAACTGCGTGTTCTCTTGAAAAAAGGTGGTGGAGTAACTCAAGATGTGAGCGACCAGAGTGTGTCTTTTTGCACTAGCTCAAGAGGGTTTAGCATAGGCTCAGTCACTCCTAATGCTCCGCCCTCTACAGCTGCTCAGCTCGAATTTGTTGTTGCAGTAAGTTTCCTTGCTGAGAAATGGAAAAACACTGACCTCGCAGGTGTTGTGCAGGGCGATGGTGTTGAGCCCTCCCATCATTATCTCAGACGTGTACTCGTCCATGGCCCGCTTGCTGTCTCCCACGTATGGGACATATTTGATCACCACCTGCAATGCAAGCAGAGACATTTGAGCTCTGAATATGAGTTGTCTGCAGACCTCTACACACACACACACACGTCAGAATTATTTAAATGCATTTTGTTTGCTGATGATACAACTTTTTTTTTTGTTCGGGGAAAGATCTAGAATGAATGTTAGAGAAAATGAAAGCAGAATTTGTGAAAATACAAAACTGGTTTAAACTCAACAAATTATCATTAAACTTGGACAAAACAAATTATATGATATTTACAAAGAGGCAAAGAACTGTTGACATTCCATTCAGAGTTGGTGGTGTAGAGATAAATAGAATCAGTGAGGTAAGGTTTTTGGGTGTTATTATTGACGAGAAATTGACATGGAAACCTCATATATTATCTATGAATAAAAGTAGCTAAATCTATTGCATTGATTTACAAAGTAAGGGACTTTTTTATTGATAAAGCTCTGTATATATATAATACATTAATTGTTCCACACATAAGTCTATTGTGTTGAAGTATGGGGAAAAGCATGTAAGACTATACAAATCCTATTTTTGTCTTGCAAAAAAGGGCTATAAGAGTCATCACTCAAAAAAATTACCTTTATCCCTCTAATATATTGTTTTGTAAACTGAAATTAATGAAATTCTATGATTTGATTGATTATAATATTTTGTTAGTTATGTATAAAGCACACCGAAATGTATTACCGTCAAACATTCAGATAAACTTTGCAAAGAGAGAGAGCTGTTATTTTAAGGGAATAGAGATGTTCATGAAAGCTTAATTTAGAACATGTTTGAAAGAACAATGCAGCTCAATTCAAAGAGTCAGACTGTGGGATAATTTAGAAGACAATGTTAAAAGTGCAGCATCAATATGCATATTTAAGAGAATGATAAAGACTGGGCTGTAAAAAGTTATGAAATTGTTAAATATGAAGATGTTCACTTTGCTGTTCTAGAAAGTTTCAATGTTTTTTTGTTAACTGAAGATTATTATAGTTTGAGTCTATATTTGAGAGAAAAGGGGCAGATATTAGATTTTTTTTCTTCTCTCTGTCACCTTTCTTTTCATTTTATTTGTATTTTCTTTTTATTGTACATAGAATCTTGTTTTATGTTTCATGAAATGAATAAAGCTTAAAAATCCAAAAATCCACACACACACACACACACACACACACACACACAC